CGTGCAGAAAGTAGCCAATGAAAATAGAGATCTTGCGCTTTCCATTGCACCAATGATCACGCCATTTGGACAACTTTTAGAAAAATTCCGCCAATCCAAAAACAATGGGACAACTATTCCGGACCAGAGTAGTATCGACTTTGGCCCGTTTAAAAATCGGGTGGAAATCAGTACGAAATCCTTGGAGCAAAGGAGAAGCGGATTCGACGTCGTTTTTGTTCAAGAGGCAATTTTTGCATATATTATATATATAACTTTACATTATATTCTCGAATTGTATATGAAACTCTAGTACGCCGGTGTATGTTCTAGCATTGAATTCATATCGAAGCAAAAAAGGGAAAATAGTTATTTGGACTGAGCTTCTCGCTCGTCGCCAGCGATGAGATTCTTGACGTCGTAGAGCCAGTTGCTGGTCACACCCGTCACCATAGCAGGCCCACACCAAGTGGTCCGCAACTTGGCACAATTATGCTGCAAGACCTCTTGGTACAGCACATAATCGCCCACAACAAACTGGGCCATCTTGACATTACGCTTCTTGCCATGTGTCTTTCACATTCGATCTTGCATAAATGCATTCGCCGAATTCATTTCCTTGAGCATCGAGTCCAGGACGGTATGCTCATTGTTTATGTTGGCATGCTACATCAACTCAATCTCAGCCAGGGTAGCTGACTTGAGGTAGCCAGGCAAAGAGATCGTGTCCATGGGTGACATGGCTGGAGCCGGACATGGCGGCGGCTGGTGCCTCACCACCTAGAGATGGGGACGATAGCTGGTTCATGATGAGCCAGACCAGGTGGATCAGAGTTCCAAAGAGTTGTCACCATGCGCCATCACTGAGACATGCCCGCAGCAGACGCACAGCTGACGCATCACCACCTCGACTGTCCCATGCGCCCACGGACAACGCGATGTAGTGAATTGATGATGCGCTCCAAGAACATGTTGGAGCTCGGTGATGACTTTGTTTGTAAAGTGAGTACATTGATATGACACCCATTCATAGCACACACCAAGTACCGCAAACCATTCAAGCAGACAATCCTTGGTGAACAATGTCGTGGCTTCCTTCGAAGGAAACAGCCACACCAGTTTGCTGGCGTCACACTTGATCACTAACAGGTACTTGCCACACGTCGTGGAGTCTCCTGTGAAGTGGTAATCCCAGTGCAACAAATCATTTGGCTGGGTAGAGTGCAGGGATTCCCCCAATCGTCGCGGCGCGCCACCGGATACACTTGCACAATGCAGGCAGCGGCCCACGAAGAACTTCATGTCCTTTTCCATCGTGCTCCACCAACAGAATGTCACCAAACGCTCAAGGGTATGACTGGCACCTCGATGCCCGTTCAAGGGCACCCGATCCGTTAGAGGGGAAACAGTAATCATTGAAGAAGTTCAGCATGAAAAAGCACTTGGCACCGCGCATTTGGCCCTCAACAACTTCCAACATGGGCATCGGTCAAGCGATCTGCTCCGTCTGGATGTTGGCAGGGCACAGGTCCACTGTCATACAGAACTCATCCTTGGTATGGGGCTTGCGTACGATCAAAGGTGCACACGGCCATCGGCTTGTAGGGATTCGATAGATGAAACCAGCTTTCTCCAGCTTTTCCACATGCTTCTGCATGAACTCGCGTTGATGGAGAGAGTAGCCTCTATCTTGAAGCGAACTGGCTTGGTGAACTTGGTGAGGTGCACCTTTAGGGGGCATGTCCACTGGTGGATCGTTGCCAAACGTAAGTCGAAACACGTCCACATACTTGGCCAAGAGCTTGGGCAGACCCAGGGCATACTCAGTGCCACAGCCTGCTGTCATGGCTCCAGCCACCTTGGCATCCAAAACAGCCTGAACCTTGGCTTGTTCCACAGCGGGGTCCACATGTGTTATGACAGGGAAACATGCGGCTAGCTCCAGAGCCTCTTCTATATCGGCCAGGTCATCTACCAGCTCTTGCTTGGTCGCCAGCTTGACTGCCTTTATCATCCCACTGGTAGACTCCAAGTTTTCCATGTCATACTCGCTGCTAATCGAGGCTGCATCACGTAGCAAGGACTACGGATCGTAGCCAAGCTTGTGCAATATTGGATGGCTCAGCAGGATGTCACCAGATGGAAGGTCATCAATAGAGAGCAAGCATTTGACGTTGGCTAGTACCTATGGACCGACATCTGTCTCGAAATTGAGCGTCAGGTCGACTTCCTGGGTTACTGTGTAGCTTGCACCGATGAATCCACGCACAGAAACAGGTGCAGGCAATTCTGTCACCACCACGTTACGCCCAGCGTCTTGGAACCTCATGAGTGCCTTTGCGGAATCACACTTTGGTCCGCTCCACTGTCAAACGAGGCGTCCAGCGCTACCACGTGGTTGGCGGTACTCACAACGTTCGCAGCACACAGGACGGCCATCTTTTCATTCGGGTCAACGGTCTTCACTTCCCTAGCAATCGTGACAGCCTTTTCAGGCTTTCCTTTCTTCTTGGTTTCGGCCCATATGGACTTGGCTCGGTCCATCAGCAGACGACCCTCACCAATTGCCGCTTTGGGACACTTGAACTCATTGTGGTCGGCGCTCAGACACTTCCCATCATTGTGGGTGAAGTTTGACACGGGCACATTGTCCACGTTGACCACAGCGACAGGTTTGTCCCCTTTCTTCGGATGGTCCCGGTTTCCTTTGAGCTTCTTCTCTTGTTCCTTCACCTTTTCCGCCAACAGTTTAGGGGGGCAGAGTGGCAGCTTGAACCAGAGATTCGAACTCGCCGTAACGCCGCATGTATTCTGCAAGCCAATTCTTGAAAGATCGTGCATGTTTCTTGTACGCACGTTCTCATGGAGCTTCATTAGTTCACGCACACGCTTCTGCACAGCAGGTGGCTTGATAGCTGCCATCAGGAAATCCACCGTCAGCTAGGGTTCAGTCTCGGCGAAACCATCCATGTTCAGACGGACTAGGGCAGCTTCAAAGTCGCTCACCAGCTTGGAAACTCGCGATTCGGCTAAAAATTATGGACCATATCATCTTGAGCTTCTTCATAGCTTGGTCGAGCTTGGTCATGTCCACAGGATCCCCGTTTCGGGCACTCAGGAAATAGCATCAATGTTTTGAAGAGCTGTTTGCTCTCAAAACAGGAAACATACGTTGCGACGTGCCGGAAAACCGTGAATTCTTGTGTCTGCGCTCGTCGCGCAACTGCGACTCTACGCCTGGAGTTGTAACAACCATAAATACACCTCCGGTCGGTGCCACAGATCGGAGTGGTTCACACTGTGATAACTCCTCGTATCGTTTTAAAGGTACTAAATTGATACTAGCACCACTATCGGTTATGTTAACATTTTCCAATGCATTTTTTCCCGGACGCTGTTCCTCGGTCGTCGCGGTACTGTTTTTCGTATCTTTCGCGGCTTCAGCCACGATCAGATCACATTCCCAGTCGTATTTACGTTCGCGGCCTAGTTCTCTCTCGCGGCTGCGGTCGCGGTCGCGTCCACGTCTGTCGTGTTCACAGCGCGACGTCATTTCCTTGGTTGTTCTTGACACTTCCACCTTGATAGAACGGTGTCACTAACGTATACTTTGAGGTTTTTCGCACACGTGAAGATCGAAACACGGTTTTGGGGGAGCGGCAGCTCCCATGAAACACTCGGCGCCGTGTATTGATCTCCAGCAATCAAATGCTGAACTAATAGCTTCCCCTTTGCTCAAGGCGGGGAGTCCTAATCAACGTAATCAAAACAATCCTATGACATGAATTCTACGCACAAAATTCATACACTGTCCGGGACTTGGTTGCCTTCGATCTCAACGGCCTGTCCCGCATTCCCGAAGCCGTTGCCGCTGTCCAGGGTGCTTCACCTTAAGGGTTCCTCTGGTGAATGTTTCGTACTCTAGGCCCTGGGCAGACACTTCCTTATCAGTCGCACGCATACATAACCGATGCGCCTGGTACGCTTCGAGGGTTGTGATGACAGCGCCGTTTGGGCGCCCCAGATCCTGGTTAATCCTGGTTAATGTTGTGTTGCTGGGGACGTTTTGGCCTGTGTTTCCCCGTGGTGTCAAAATTCGGTACAGCTGAGTCGGTACACTCAATTCTTGCAAAAACTGTCTATCAATATTACTCCAGGAACTAAAGGAAGAAGTTTTGTCGAAACTGGTGATAAGAATAAATTCTATTAAAATAGGGCATAATTTTGGGAAGTTCAACAAGCGTTAAAAAACACACATGCTGGCGCCGCCGCCTTTCATGGAGGTCATGGTATCTTGTACCCAAGACGTGTTGACAAATGGGTCGGCAAATCGTTTCGCACAACTCCTCCGCTTCATAAACGCATTGGCCGTTGTGATCTCCATTCCTTGTGAAGTAGTCAACCTCGTCCAAATATGCTTGCACCCCTACCAAGTAAGTCGTGGAGATTCGCTTCGAACCATCATCGTGATACATTTTCAATCGGTACCTTTACGATCCATATCCTTGCGGAACATATTCGCATACATGTGAGTATTCGGATCGGACAGAGCACCTTTGAGGTCAACTGGAAGTGAATAACGTAACGAGCCAATTTATGGGCACCCTCGGGGTCGAAGTTAGCATGAAAAAACGGCACAAGTTTTGCAAATTTGATCCAATTTTGGTCCATCTTATGTCACTTTAAAGCTGACATTCTGTTCTATCGAATGCAAGTGGTTTCATAACATTTGGACAGGTATTGCGCAA